GCCCCCTCACCCTGCAGCTTATATGAAGGGGCCGCCAGGCATACCCAGGAAGTTGGGCGCTCTCATGGACATGGGTGGAGGCGCCGATGAGCCGCTCCAGTGCACCTTCATGTGGTGCCTCAGGTTGGACTTGGAGGAGAAGCGCTTGTCGCACTGCTGGCAGGAGAACGGCTTCTCCTTGGTGTGGATGCGGCGGTGACAGATGAGCGCAGTGGAAACCCTGAAGGACTTCCCGCAGTCAGGGCACTGGTAGCGTTTGGGCTCAGTGTGGATGCGCCGGTGGTTCTTCAGGGACATCAGGTTGGGGAACTCCTTCTGGCATGAGCTGCAGAAGTAGGTCCCGGTCTTGTGGCTGTTCTTGTGGTTGAGCAGGGAGCTGGCGTGGCGGTACGAGCGACCGCACTGGTCACAGACATGGGACTTGACGACCTCGCTGTTGCTCCCTTGGCCGCGGACTTTGGCGACGTTGCTGGGATTGAGTCCTTGCTCTTGCATCAGGGTGAGGTCCAGGCCTGACCCCCAGCCCAGGTCCTGGGAGCCCCCTGGGCGGGGCTGCTGGGTTCTGGGCTGGCGGGGCTGCGGTGTCTGGCCATGAGTGATCTCCATGTGGAGCCTGAAGCTAGCCTGCGTGGGAAAGGCTCGCTGGCAGGACCGGCAGGTCAGCTCCCGCTGCTTCTGGTGTACACGCCGGTGGTTGTAGAGCTGGGAGGAAACTCGAAAGGCCTTTCCACAGTCGTGGCATCGGTGGCGCCGCGTCTCAGAGTGGATACGGCGATGGTTCTTCAGGGCAAGCAGGTTGGAGTAGGTCTTGAGGCACACGGCGCAGTGGTAGATGCCGACAGTATGGGTGTTCTTGTGGTTGAGGAGGGAGCTGGCATGGCGGTAGGAACGGCCGCACTGATCACATCTGTGCAGGGACAAACAAAGAAGAAGAGGGGTGGAGGAGAGAGGAAGGAGATTAGCAACGGAACATGGATGTCCGATTTCAATGCTGTAGCCAAATTCATCTGGTTACCACTTTTTCTGGAGAAGTATTTCAAGTATTTTTACTAGTCATCATCTAGGATGTTGCACATACAGGTATATGATCTGAAATCCGGCTCAAAGCTTTCAAAGAAGTCTACAAAGTGGTGTACCATTAATGATTTCTACACAGGTCATAGGGGAGAGGACTGCTGGGTGGGTGAGGGAGGGAGGAACATGGGAGACACTATGGAGAAACAAGTGTAGGGAACTGGAAGGTATCTGCTGCTCCCTGCACTGCACAAATAAAACAACCTTCTGTCTCAGCCTTCTTTGGATACTGAATGTAGTGATGAGAAACCATCAAACATGCCCAAAGAACCACTACCATGCATCAAGACTCCTGTAGGTGTTAAGACTGGTGACCTGTGGACATGTGCAGTGCAGCTAGCTCCAAATACTTCCTAATCTTCCCTTTCAGAACATCAAAATGCAACAGCCCCATCACATAACTGCAGTTCCTAATCTATTAGCTAACCAGTGTCAGAATAAACACAAAGACTGCAATCAAAATCAGAACAGAAGCAAGGAACACACAACATCAACACTTCAATATGCTGCACACAAAATACTACTTAAAGAGTTCGAAAAAAACAAAGCATGTAAACAGTACATCTGAACATGACATGTTTGACTGAGGCTAGCCTAAAAATGTCTGATATATGCTAACTGTAAGCAAACGGGGTTGACTTATCTGGTCTCTCCACTAATTCAATTTGTCCAAACTTCAGAAAAATCCGAATTCCGGCACGCGTATGGTCCCAAGGAAGCCGGATTGGAGATCATATACCTGTAATAGACATGTAGAGACCTAAATTTATCTTCACTATTTGTTTGTTTCAACTTCGAAGAATCACAAACAACTGACGAGAACTCACGTGTACCGACACTCTTCGCCCTCTCCCGTGGGTGCAGTGGCCTTCCTCCTGACTTCCATGCCTACCTGGTTGTCCCCGCAGCGGTGCCTGGCCAGACCGGACCTCCCCTGGAAACTCTTCCCACAGGTGGGGCAGCCAAACGGGGTGGCGCCTTCCTCGTGGACTTTCTGGTGGTTGCGGAGGAACCGGGCCAGTCGGAAGGCTTTCCCACATGTGTGGCAGATGTGCTTCTTCCGCTGCGTGTGGATGCGCATGTGGTTGCGTAGAGCCATGTAGTTGGTATAGGGCTTGTCGCAGAAGTTGCACCTGAAGTTTCCGGTCTTGTGGGTGTGCTTGTGGTTCAACAGGGAGCTGGCGTGTTTGTAGGCGCAGCTGCATAGGTCGCAGGCATAGGGCCTCTCGTCAGAGTCCATGTCTACCGAGTTCTTCTCGGTACTGATGGTTGTCGAGGTGTTGGTGGAGGACGATGAAGGCAGGTGCTGGGCTGGACAGTCATGAGCCGCGAGCTCGTCAGCTGTGGCAAAGCCTTCGCAGCAGCCGTCGCACTCGAAATCCATCTGAGCGCCAGGGCCTTGTGGGCCTTTGCACAGGCCGGCTGTAGTGTGGGTAGCGAGCTGCCTTTGGGTGCGGAAGCCCTTGCCACACTCTTGGCAGTTGTGCTTCTTTTGTGCAAAATGGAGACGAAGGTGGTTTTTCATTGCAAGCCTGTTCGGATATGTAGAGTTGCAAACATTGCAGTGGTACTCTCCAATTTTGTGAAGGTTCTTGTGATTGGCCAGGCTGCCCGCATGGCGGTAAGTCTTTCCACATTCTTCACAGGCAAACGGCCGCCGTGCACTTTCGGCAGGATCAAACTTCTGGGGTCTGGAAGTACCGGCTGACGAATAGGGCTTTTTGAACCCTTGGTGGCTGTATTTGACCCCCATCACCTGGCCCTTCGATGGCTCCCCTCTCATAGTCTGCATTTGAGATGGGTCAGGCTGCTGGAAGCGGGAACCGTTTGGGCCGGTCCGAACAAGGCCTTTGGCTCGGTGTTCTTCATGGAGACGGAGATGGTTGATCAATTGCTTTTGGATCTTGAAGGCTTTGCCACATTCTTCACACTTGTGCCTGTAGCAAAAATAGGCAAAGGTAAAGAAAAAAAAACAAAAAAAAAAAAAAACAGCAATATCTCTTTCAGTACATTTCAAAAGCAAAATGACACTTTGTAGGTATTTCTAGGGTGGCCTAAGTCAGATTCTTAATAAGGTTAGCAGTTCTCAGCAGTTTTACTAGCCTCAGACCCCTACCTACTTTGGCAACAATTCTCCTGTACTTCAAAGTTTAGATGAAAACCAATGAAAATGTTATCCATAAATCTTGCCAACTAAAGTCAAAAAACTCACTTTGACAGAATGAGATCTTTATTAGCCAAACAGTTTTAATTTGTCACATGCCTCAATTGGTGCTCAGTACCTATAACTGTAAAATAGCTACAAAATTTATATAAAAATCAACAAAACTTTATTAACGTCTTTACTTTATTTACAAAACAAGAGTAACATGATAATTTTGGATTTGACCTCCAGTAGGCACTACCATTAACTGTTTCTAATGTTAACTTTTTAAAGAATTTGTTGAGAGACATTCGAAACTGGCAGAAGACCTACCTCTTTAAGTCAAAGTGGGTCCTTTGGTGATTCTTGAGAGCCAGCAGGTTGTAGTAACGTTTTTGGCAGACAAGGCAACGGAAAACACCGGTCTTGTGGGACTTCTTGTGGTTAAGGAGAGAGCATGGGTGTCTGTATCCTCGCCCACATTGGTCACACTTGTGGGGCTTGTCACTCTGATCGACCATTGGCCTACGTCCATCTGCGCCAACGTCACAACTTCTTCCAGCGACACCACCGCCAACGCCCTCTCCTCCAGACATCCCTTTGGCTCCATTTAGGCCGGGCTTGTTCATCGAGTTACCTCGATTCTTCCCAGGGCACAGGTGGGTGATCAGATGGTGGCGATCGGCGAAAAACATACCACAGTCAACACAAATGTGGCTCCGGCCATCCATCTTTTCGTTGCCGTTGGCTGAACTCCCTGCAATACCCTGTTGCTGACCATCTGGCCTTTGGGGCCCATGGATTAACTGATGATTCAGGAGATCCTGCTTTCTGGCAAAAGTCTGGCCACAGGTACAGCAGATCATCCTCCAGTCCTGCTGCAGGTTGGAGGGTCCTGGCCCTGTGGGGTTGTTGGCATGACTACGCAGGTGACTTCTGAGAGCTCTCAAACTAGCATAGTGGTTGCCACAAACTGAGCACTGATACACCTCTCCATCATCATCGTCATCTTTGTCATTGCTTCCCATTCTCTTGCCTCCACTTTGAGGATACTGTCGTTGACTGCCGCCTTCTTTCAGGCTGCTGGAGCTTCCAGCAGGCAGCGAGGTTCCACTGGAGCTATGGTAGTTCATATTCCCCATAAAACCATTGGACATATTGGCCTGCTGCTGCTGCTGGCCACGGCGGGGACACATGTGCGACTTGATGCCAGACACATCGCCATACATCTCACCACAGTCGGCACATACGTGTCGGTCGGCTTGCCGGTGAGCAGAGCTGCTCTGGGAGAGTGAGCTGCCATCAAAGCGATCATGGAACTCAAGAGAGTCTAGCCCACTGCTGTGGCCTCCATCTGGTACAAAGTGGGCAGCTTCGCCGAGATTTCCTGGCAGGGAGATTGGAGTGGTGGCACCACTACCTTCCTGGACGTAGCTCTGCTGCGAGTCCAGAGTCAGGGGCTCTGGGGATAGCCAGTCGTTGCTGTCATTGTTAATAGGCTGATTGGAAGGACGACCCTTGTGGCTTCGTAGGTGGCTATGTAGTGCTGCCAGGTGAGGGTACTGCTTACAGCAGATGGTGCACTGGTAGTGGCCCGTTTGGTGGCAGCGTTTGTGGTTGACCAGGCTTCCTGCATGCCGGTAACTTTTGCCACACTCCCCACACTTAAAGCGCCGCTCTTCATCATCTGGAGAATTAGCCTGGGGCACACGACCTCCTGACGGGGAGGCCACCGAGCTCTGGGATCCAGAACTTAGAGTCTCCGAGTTGAGGATGGAGCTGTCCTGACTATGGGAGGGAGGGTGGGGATCATGAGTTAGATAATGGACTTTCAGTGTCTCCAGATCTGGGTGTCCTGCGCCACAGTATGCACATGTATAGATGGGGTTGTTGACTGGAGGGCCCATAATGGGGTCATAGGGGCCCCTCTTCTCAGTCGGCACTGGTGGCAGAGGCAGAGGCAGAGGGTCCCCCAGCGCCGGCGTGTATGCCGGGGATCGAACAGCACTCAGATTATGAGGCATGATGCCTGGAAAACTCCGTGGCAGGCTGAGGGTAGGTGAAGCAGTGTTGTGCAGCAGAATGTGTTCTTGGAAATCTGCCTTATTTGGCAGCGCTACCTGGCAGAGGTGGCAGAAACAGGTGGTAGTGTCTTCACTTTGAGAGGACTGAGTGCCAGTGCTGCGCTCCGAGTCGTGGAGGCTGCTGCTGCTACTGCTGCTGCTCACCATTGAGGCCCCAGGGGTCTTGAACTTCGAGTGAGTTCTCTCGTGGCTGTTTAAGGCAGCCAGGTTGCCAAATTGTTTGAAACACACAGAGCACTTAAAAGTTCCTTGTTGGTGACACTTCTTGTGGTTCACCAGGCTACCGTGGTGCCGGTAAGTTCTGTCACACTGATCACACTTGAAAGGTCTGTCCCAAGCGTCGTCAGATTCAGGGGAGCCTTTTTTTCCGTGTTCGTCTGTCTCGTGGCTTTGCAGGACACTATGTCCCATACCACTATTGTTCAAATGGGAGCGCCCAAACCCGTCCGAGAGGTCCTGGGTGAGACCGTAGTCCCTCTCGTCGTGGCCGGCTTCTTCGGGCACTTCCTCGCTTTCTTCCTCTGTGTGTGCACTACTAGGGGATAAAGTATGGATCCGTAAGTGATTTTTCAAAGCTACTGCATTAGGCAGCGTACGTGTACAAACAGGACACTGGAATGATCCAACTTCGTGAGATTTTTTATGATTGGCTAGACTAGCTGCGTGTTTATAAATTCGTCCACACTGTTCACACTCAAAACGACCGGTCTCTTCTTGCTGATAATGTGCTTTCATATGTTCTAGAAGACTTGGAGTACTCGGGCAAACCATATCACATTCTTTACAGGGGAAACCCTTGGCACGACTCATATCATGCATTGCCATAGTACTCTAAAGCAAATCGTTTGGAGGGAATCACGGTTCACAACAGAGCAATGAACAGTGATGTTGAGGAGGTGGGGGAGGAAACTGTAGGGCTTAGCTCTTTAGCTGAGGGCAGCAGTGGAGGCCATTTTCTCCCTGGGAGCCGTCAGCGCAGGTCAATCAGGACCCACCCCGGGAGGTGGCAGGCCTGCGGGGGTCACACCGGCCAATGAGGTATCACTGTGGAGAAACAAAAGAAGAAGAAAAAGAAAACAGGTTACTCAAATACCTACTTATCTTTTGTTAAAATCTCGAAGTTCAGTCCAGGTCCCTCAGTTTAAGTTTCAGCTATTTGCTATTGATTATAACAGAATCTCAAAATGACTGGGATATTCAGGAAAGCCCTACAAAGATTATTTAATATAAATAGTTTGGTCCTAGGTTCTGTTATCATTTTAATTTTCTTTATTATGCTTTTGCATCACAAATTTTATAGCTGGATATAGAAATTGTGGATGGTGATCTTAAGGATCAGCAATAGTCCGAGTGATCACTAGCAGCTTGCTAACCACAACAATTAAGTAGCACAGTTGCACAAGCATCAGCTGTAGCTTTAATAAAGTGTCAGACCAAACATTTCAAATTAGTTTAACTGGAAGACTCTAGAAACAAAATATCATTTTTTAAATTATACCAATAAATGACCATTAAATGGATGTAACTTCTTTGTCAGAAAAAAAACAAGGCAGTGGGTAAGTGCTTTAATCTTCATGTTATCTGAAGGCCATCAGACAGCGATACCTGTGGTTGCAAAAACATTTCCCCATCTTATAGAAACTAATTTCTTAGCTTATCTCTAAAAATGTCTTGTAGTTCATGGTCTCAGTTGTTTTGGGTCATACTGTTCAAAAGTGACTTCTATCTTGCGAATTTTGGACAGGACGATCCGACTTGTGAATGGATCGGCCCACGGTCAGGTAAACCTGATCCAGTCCTAGTCGCCACAGCAGGGTGAGAGCAGAAAACCACCTGATCTGCACGATGATAACGGAGCAGCAGGCCAAACTTTAGGAAACACGTCAGGTGTAATTCAACCTCCTGATTTATTTGAATGTGACAACTTGTTAAAACTTGTGTAACCCCTCCAATGTGTGAGGCAACTCCATTTATATTTTAAGAGAAATATTCTGAAACTATTTTGATATTTAAAACATCAATTTCCAGTTTGAAAAATGTGCTGCTTTTCCGTGTCAGTAACGGTTGGATCACTTTTATGTTCTGAGAAGGGAAAAAATGTAAAAGTTTATTTTTCACTCATTAGACAACAGTTTGATTAAAATCTGCCTCGATCAAATAGTTTGTGTTTTCTGTTAGGACCCCAGTGGGATGCAGTCTAACCGATCAGAGACCGAACCTCTAAAGTCCAGATTAGTTGGACTTTACATGTATGACTGAAAAACCAGAATATCAGTGATGCAGGACCTGATCCGCCTCACTGTGCATTGCACTGCCTATAAAACTACAAACGGGACCTCTGCATTGAGCACAATGCGAGTAAATACCCACAAATATTCACTGTTGTTTGGATTAAATTCAGACCCATCATGCAGGAGGAGGAGTGGATTTTGTGAAATATGGATGGATGGCAGCATGGCACAAACTCAATGCTTCTTTGGCCAAGTGTGAGAAGAAAATGAGACACTTAGAGGACAGGCTCAGTCGGTTAAAGACAAGAAAGCAGTCCAAGCGGACGTGCTGATGCTGCTGATGAATCGGTCCTGTTTGGGTTTGCTGGGACTGAAAATGCTCCGGTTTATTGTATGGTTCCAGGAGCAGTTGCTGTGTTTCTGCTGGTTGTGGAGGCGTGAGATTCAGGTTTGTCCAGACATCGCGTGACAGTGAGCGCTGCACCTGTCAGCGAGTTTCACTGGGAAATAGAGAATTCCCTTATTTTCCAGATTAAAGAAGCACAAGTGGAGGAAATGTCGGTCAGCTTGGCCTTCAGGTGTCGCGTTTTGTTCCACCGACAGCTCAAACGTCCTCACTCTACAAAAGCCACAGCTCCACTTCAGAAACGACTGAAATTTAACTACAGCTCGTTAAAATGTGCTCTCCAAAACCACAACTCCCAGAAATATACAAAAGTATATCTTAAAAAATAGTTTAAAATGCTTGTGATTATTTTTCTGAGTGAGACATTTGGTGGAAGTCTGACACAAACTGATCAGGAATCAGTTCAACAGATCCTTCAGTGGGATTAAAGTGTCTGCATCCTTTTTAACAGGCTCATGTGTAATCTGTAATCTGTGGCAGATTACAGCAGCCGTTCGTGTTCATCTCATTACACACAGCTGGGTTCAAACACTGGCTCGAGGCCCGCTCAAAGACTTTCCAGGTTTCTCCTGATAACACAGATCCCTATAAAACTCCAACACGAGCTCATCTGTGTAGGTTCAAGCCTCGGCCAGTGTTTGGCTTAAACACCGTTCATAACGTCGGTGACGTCAATAACCGAGCATATGAACAAATCTGAACATCATGAATCACAGCAGAGACGCACAGATTTAGATTTTCTACAACTGACGCCTCAAAGAATTATTCTTTTTTAAGAGTGAAAATGTAAAATATTGTTTCTTACGTTTTCTGGGGGAGTTAAAGAACTGTCACGTGGCTGTCACTTAAAATCTATGGGCTCAAATTGTGGTCAAAATTCGTACTTGTAACTTGAAACTTGAGTGCAGAGTTTCACACGTATTTTTTGGCTAAGTCCACACACATATCTTTTTTACACATACAAATCCTGATTTACAAGTACAAAATATTTATGACTACAATTTGAGCCCATAAAAATCATTTAAAATAAAGTCCTCCAAAGCCACAGTCCAAACATCGTCTCCGTGTGCAGGACTTTATGAAAAGGAAATATATACATAAACCTACACAGTTTGTGTATCAGGCTGTTAACATGGGGGTCAATGGGTACGGGCTCTCTGCTGCCTCTGCTGGATGTCAGAAGAACTGAAGCGTTTAGAACACAAAGGGTCTCATGGGCAGATTTTCTGATGGCATTACAACTGAACCAGCCTTTGCTTACGATGGTTTTATAGAACAACGTCTATAACGACTGATCTGAGATTTCAGCTTAATTTAAATGTGAGCAAACCGAGAGGCTGAAACCTCCTGTTAGACATAGTAATGGACCGCCGAGCTGGGTCCTACGTAAACATCACCACCTCAGCTTCAAACTGCCGACTGTGATGCAGCAGCAGACAGTATAAATCTTAAAGCTTAACTTTATGGACCACAGCTCAGGCGTTTCGTGAAGAAGGAAACACCCAGATTTGTGTTAAATAACATATCACAGTTATGTGGAGGAGAGACTGAGGAGGAGCTTCTTCCTGCAGGCGATACGGTCTCTCAATCACACCACCACACAGTACTGACCCACACATACGGTTCTTACACACACACTGGACATTGTTTTCACTTCATTACTTAAATCACGCTGCTGTTATTGTGTATATATTTATTTATATTTCTTCATACATTCTTATATAGTTCTATATTGTGTATTTTGTTGTACAGTTATTTTATTTTCAACTTTAATTTATATATTTTATCTTATTCTCCCAGTTAAATTTACCCTTCATTCTAATTTGTGTTGTACAGTTATTTCATTTTTAACCTTAATCTATATTTTATTCCTTCCTAGTTAAATTTACCCTTTTTAATTTTTCATATTTATTTCCTATCTTATTCATAGCCTTTTCCTTTTTTGTTTTCTTTAGGTCACGAGCAGTTGTCCAAGCATTTCACTGCATATCGTACTGTGTATGACTGTGTACGTGACAAATAAAATTTGAATTTGAATTTGTGTGTAGTCTCCACTGGAGAATCTCTATGAGCAGGAAAAGGCCCGGAATACAGATGTTGGCTAACGGGAAAAGAGCGTTGACAGGAAGGAGGATCAAACGGTTTACAAGCCGTCACGGGCGATAGCGTCAGCACTACGAGGACACCACCTGGTCATCAGGTGGGATTTAAGGTCTCGGGTTTGTGTTTATGTTCTCTTTGGCTGAACAGAGAGGAATTATGGGAATTCAGCTAAACAAACTTGCTCTAAAACCCAACAGCACCCAGTCAGCAGCGAATATATCAGCGGTGAGGCTAAACTACAGGACTGATCAACACAAATATACCCAATCAACCACGGATGTTTGATCAGTGCATGTCTCATTAAAGGTGAGCTACCTGTGAGAGGACAGAGGTCACCCGGGTCTCAAATGTGGTGCTGCAGGTTGGAGCTTTAAGTGATTTAGTCAACAAGTTGTTGGATGTTTGTTAAATATAAAACATGAGCATGAAAACCTGAGCTGAGCAGCACAAATCGGTCCAGGAACTCAATTAAAACGATTCAAGAGGAAGCAGAGACGGATTGTCTGCGCAAGAAAAACACGCCAATCTCCACACAAAAATATTTACCGTCGTACCGTTATCACCACGGTCGTTTCATTAATGAGCAATTAACAGATTCACCGGTAATGAGCGAGAAACAGAAGAACAAAGAAAGAAAGGAAGGAAGCAGGAAACGAGGTGAGACACGAGGGGAGGCGTGGGGGAGGGGAAGGAATGAAGGAAGGGGAAAAACAGAAAGAGAGGGAAAAGGAGGGGTTGGGGTGGGGGGCTGCAGTGGAAAATAAAGGTGTGGAGGAGGGTTTGATTGGCAGGAGAGGTAACCTGAGGAGGAGGAGGGGAGGCGCTGACGAGCTGCAGTCTGACAGGCAGGAAGGCAGCAAGGAAAATAAACAGCAGCAGGAGCGAGTGAAGGATGTGAGGGGAAACTTCCTCTACATCTCCCTGCAGAGCTTTTACCTGCAGAGCCCCCCACCTCAGCCCACAGGCGGCACGATGCCTTCACCAGCGGGGACACAAGAACCAGATCGGTGCCTTTTCCTGCACATAACCCAGCATCATCGCCTCAGAGCAGGCGAGTGCTGTGTTTATCAGAGCCGCGGTGCATCAACGTGTTCAGCTGACTTTGTTATCTTTATCATCCTTCTTGATCATTATGAAGCTTTTCGTTTGTGAACTCGGGCACTTTTCTGTTTTTTGCTTCTTGTTTTTTCTCCTTGCAGTTCCTCTGGGGTCCAGCAGAGGCAGTAGTGCCTCAGTCCCCATAGACTCCCATAGAAGTTAAAACTGTACAGCAGAACATAATCAATCAATCTTTATTTATAAAGCACTTTTCATACAGAAAAAATGTAGCACAAAGTGCTTTACATAGTTAAAAGCAGCCCACCCCACCCTCCAACTCACTCCCCACACTCTCAATACACATATATCCCCCCACCC